CCCGGGCCTATTGGTTCGTCCGCCCTCCGCAGTAATCACGGAGTACTGACGTTATATGCATTTACAGAGAACATCATCAACAGCAACATCTATGTCCGCGCGGCGGTCATGTTTGGCCGTGCGCGTACCCAGGTCGGGCTGATCGTCGAGCCCGTCGAGACCGTCTCTATCAAAACGGAGGAAGATCTCGCCAACTTCCGCAACCTCATCTGGCCCGACATCGAGAAAGCGAACGCGTTCGCACCGCAGCACTCGCGCATCTTTAAGGAGTTCATCCTTGTGAGCGGTACGAAGAAGAAGCCTTTGATCAGGACTGCGAAGGGCACTGTTTCCCGCAACGCCTGCTTGCAGCAGTACGAGCAGGAGATCGAGGCGATCTACGCTGCTGCCGAGCTCCCTACTAAGGCTGTATGGGCCCAGCCACCTACGACATGGGACGAGCCAGCACTGTACGAATTCGTCATCCGCGTCGTCAACGGCGTCATGCGGTCGGACAAGAAGGACGTTCCTGCAGTGGACGAGAACCGCGACTTGTTCGAACAGGGATGCGACAGTCTCCAAGCGACGTACATCCGTGCGGCTATCACGAATGCTCTGCGGGATGCGCCCAAGCCGGAGGGAAAGTCGGACATCGCTGCTGTCTCCGTTCCCCAGAATTTGGTCTTCGCTTTCCCGTCCATTCGTCGCCTAGCGGCGTACATGATGAAGTCCGTCGGTGGGCTCGGAGCGGAGAATGACGCTGCTGCCGATACTGCTGCCGCGATTGAAGCTATGCTCGGGATGATCGACAAGCACACGCGGGACTTCCCGATCCACAGGCCTGGCACGCGCTCCATCGACGGCGAGGTCGTGCTCATCACAGGCACTACTGGAACTCTGGGCACGTACCTCCTCCAAGAACTGTTGGAGGACTTCCGCGTTTCTCGTGTGTATGCGATCAACAGGCCCAGCAGTGAGAAGGGGCTGCCTGCGAGGCAGCGCTTGGCGTTTGTGGACCGTGGCGTGGAGAGGAAGCTGCTGATCTCGCCTAAGCTTCATCTCCTCGAGGCCGATACCAACAAGCCTGACCTCGGTCTGGATGCTATGACACTGGGAGAGGTATGTTCATTGACCCTGACCGGTCTCAAGCTCAAGTCGACATAACAGATCCGCAATACGGTGACTGCTGTTATCCATAATGCATGGAGGCTTGACTTTAACCTTTCCCTCTCCTCCTTTGAATCGCACGTCAAGTCTACTCGGCATCTCGTGGACCTTGCTCTCTCTGTCAAGGCCCCAACTCCCGCTCAGGTCATCTTCACCTCGTCTATTGGTACACTGCAGAACTGGCGCGAGCCTCGGGCCGTCCCAGAGAACGCCATTGACGACCCGTCCGTCGCGCTTGGCAATGGGTATGGCGAGAGCAAGTGGGTCGCTGAACGGGTCATGGTTGCCGCTGCTCAGCAACGCGGTGTGCAGGCTACGATCTGGCGCGTGGGCCAGTTGGCGGGATCGACCCAGAATGGCGCGTGGAACACGACCGACTGGGTGCCTATTATTGCCAAGGGTGGACAGGTTATGGGTGCTCTACCTAGTTTCCCAGGAGGAGACGTGAGCTGGTTGCCGACTGATTGCGCTGCTAAGGCTGTGAGCCTGTCTTATGACCCTGACTGAACAAATGCTGACTCGTTTGGGAAGATCGTGGACGGCCTGCACAACGTTGACGCCGATTCCGAGACGAGTTATCGTTACCTGCATCTTGTGCACCCTCACCCCACGAAATGGGACTACATCGCGAGCCATATGTCGAAAATCCTCAAGGTCCCTGTTGTACCTTTTGGAGAATGGTACAGCATGCTGGAGAAGGCAGCGACTACGGGCGGTCCACAGGCTGCGGAGAGTAATCCGGCCATCAAGTTGATGGATTTCTTCGGTCGGGGATACAAGGCTCTGGAAGAGAACACGAAGCAGGGCAAGTACAAGCCGAAGGAGGCGATGGGCATGCCAGACCTGCAAACGAACAAGGCCGTGGAAGTGAGCGAAACGCTGAGAGGATCGAAGGTGTTGGGCCAAGAGGACGTCCAGCTTTGGTTGGGCTACTGGGAGAAACATGGCATGTTCGCATGACCGA